GAGCAAAAATAGCTCTCATGGGGAATGGTCACGCCATAATCCCTTCTCCTCCATCTCTCCCTCCTGTCTGGATTTCAGGCACGCATACACACATGCCTGGCATGTTTCTCAAGCCTCTGGGTCTGGGACTTGAACTGCATTATTGGCCATATGGGGATACAGCTGGCCTAACTGCCGCACCACTGGGCTGGCCCATTTCTGTGTTTGTAATAATTATGAATTTTATTGCTATAGTTTCCTAATCACATTTTCTTTGAAAAATCATGACCTAGTTTATCAAAGCAAATTAGCATTCTTTTTTTTTTTTTTTGCTATAGGGCACTTGCGCTTGCCAGACAGACAGAGACAGAGAGACAGAAAGCAAGAAATCACCCCGCAGGGGGGATGGCCATGCCACAATCCCTTCTCCTCCATTCTCCTCTCGGGATCTTGGGCACGCATGCACACGTGCCTGGCGTGAGTTTAAGCCATTGGGTCTGGGATTCGACCTGCGGTCAACTATGTGAGAGTCCAGTGACATAGCCATTACGCTAACTGCTGGTCCCGCAAATTAGCATTCTTAACTGGTCTTGTAGGGCTCCAGTGGCTGACCCTGGGCTGGGCACTAGGGCAGTAAGAGAAAGACAAGTGCTTACATGGGACTGTCCCAGCCCAGGCAGCGAGGAGGCAGTGGCCTTCCCAGGGGAGAATCTGGAGACCTGGAGGAGAAGCCGATCTGTCAGAGAGGCTGGGCCAAGGCAGGCGAGGCTGAACAGGCGCTGCCCCGGCCCTTGGCGCCTTCCCTCCGCCCTCTCGCTCTCCCAGTATTACCTGTTCTCGCCTTCCTTTACCCCTCATTCCCCGTGGGTTTTCAGGTTAGTTCCCCTCCTTGCCCTGCAGAGGGTTGGGGCCTAGCCTTCATGTCGGTGTTCCCCTCCGGCCTCCACCTCACCATCTCCCCACGCGCTGCTCTGGATGTAGTCTGTTTTCGTGAACTCCTACAAAGTTCATCCTGTTCTGGGAGCCACAGTTCATCATGCCCTGAATCCCCCTTTGCTTCACCCTCCCAGGCCCGCCTCCCTCCCTGGTGAGCACCTAACAGAGCTCCCTTCCCTTTGGCAGGTGTTCTTGAACGAGAGGCCTGTTGGGGTCCTGGATCGTTCCACGGAGGAGCTGACCCTCGTGAAACACGTACATACTCCACTCTGACGGGTGGATACTTCTGGTCCCCGGAGGCCCTGGCACCACTGTCAGCGTGGCCTGGCCCTCTGGTGCCCATCTTCCCTACA